TTGCTTGCTCCTTCAGGGTGGCGTGTTAGTTTTGTTGGAGGGGGGTGCAGGCTCTTTACTGCTCGGTGAGAGAGCTGGCAGATGTCCCAAGTGAGAGAACCTCTTCCTCCGGGGCCTGAAGGGCCAGAGCAAGCTCCGGCTGAAAACAGCTCTTTGATCTCTCTCCCTCGAGGTGAGTTGCTTTAAAGTTTCACTGTAATTGTTGCGCCCTTTATTTGAATGATACATTTACTGATTTGTTTGCAGGTTTTAACCCTTCTTCTCTCTCCCCTCCCCCCCGACCCTCCCCTCCGTAACACTTTCACTTCCACCTCTTTATTGTTTTAACCAGAGATTCCTATATAGAAAATAAAAATAATAAAAAAAAAGGGCACTGATGTCAGCACTGGTTCTCAGTACTTGAAAAACTGCAGTCATTCAGAGGCAGATGCTGCTCCCTAAAAATCACTTTCTTATTTCTCAGCTGTGTGTTTGTGTTTAGAAGCTCTTCCTGTAAAGCTCTCCTTCCAGGTCTTGCAGGAAATTGAGAAAAGTTGATCCAGGAGCTGGAGCCGTTGTTCAGGTTGGAGGTCACTTTGCAGTTTTTTTTTTTTTTCTTAGATTACTCTCTGATGCTGCATCTAAAAACAGTTTCTGAGAGTATTACCTTGTTTCCTATCAGTTGTTCAAAAGGTTGTTTAAAAGTTCATTACTCTTAAAGAGAAATTCTTTAAGTTATGTCTTATTTGCACAAAATACATTGGTATTCTGATCACTTTCATGTAGGAAAGTTTGACAAGGTGTATTGCAGGTTATCCTCACAATAGGGAGGTTTGTTTGCCTCCTGAGTCCTGGTCTGTGAACATGAGGCACTTTGTTGTTGTTGTTGTTTATAGTTACAACTTTGTTTTCCATAATTCTGACAGGAGTTTAAAAAATCTCTGAAGAACAGACAAATAAGCTTGTTCAAAAACTGTAACTTTATTCATAACTGGTTAACTGGAGCAGAGCCTGCTAACACAGTTGGGCAACTGTGGTTTAAAGATGCAGGCTTGTTTTTCTAACTTGGAAAATCAATAGCTGTGTGAAATCAAAGCTGAAGATTCATTTGAGAAACCAGAAAGTATCCATAGCAAAGTAAAAAATGTTCTGGCAGGGAGACATATTTAATTGGCTTATACTTATCTTATTGTTGTTGTTTGGTTTGTTTTTTGGTTTTTTTTTTTGTCCTAGAGAATGACTCATAACTTCTAAACAGTAAAAAAAAAAAAAAAAAAAAAAAAAAGATTAGATACAGAAGATCAAGCATGCAGAATTCAACTGCTAAAATAATGTTTTTGCCAAAAAATGTTGTTTTTATCTGTCATGTGATCAAGTGGCCACACTGGTTACATGTAGGCCATACATCAAAGTTACTGAAGTTGTAAGTCAGTGAACTAACTGGTCTGGAAAGTGGTCTCATTCTTACAGTATCATTTTAAATTGAGTTTTTGCTATGAAATAAAGTCTTAGGTGATTCTATTTTTTTTAAATTTTAAATACATGCTCTTCTTTTTATGAAAAGTAAGGAAACAAATACTGATCTGACATGGACAAGTTATGTGCAGAAATTCTGAATGGCACAAATACAGCTCATAGCTTTTGAGGTGGAGGTTTATGAAGTTACTTTCTTAGGGATCAGTAAGGTACAAACTAGTGTAATATATTGCTTCAGGTTTGCTCGTTCGCCATACCTTTGAATGCACACACTCAATTTTAAAGCATATGTATAGTTCACAGAAAGACCGGGCTGTTTTTTTACAGAACTCGTAATTTTTATTCTAATAAACTTAGATCTAAGGATAACTGTGGATATTTGTTGCTTTTTTCTAGCCTAAGTCTGTTGGGGAAATGGGGGTGGAAAGAGGAAGAGGTGAGTTCATAACATTTCCAGTCTATATTCCAGCATTTCTGTTGTCAGCTTTGCAATGTGTGGTTACAGGGTAAGGTAGTCCAGATATTCCAGGACTGAAGATCTAAGATAGTATGTCTGGGATTTTCAACACCCCCTACTCTTTCTGTACTACCCCCAGGACATCCAAAAGTACACTGATTTGTAGAATTTGGTGATAATTTTAAAAGCTGTGGTTGAAATACATATTATTTTTGGAAATAGGCTAGAGGTATTTGGAAAAATCTGCAATAATTTGGAATAATTACTACTTCACTTAGATTCACCTCATCATATGTATGTGATGACTCTGTATATTTACAGTGAGATACTTGAAATCTATTTCCACCTAGGAATAAAGATTCTTTAATTGGAAAAAAATGGCTTATATTGGATGTATTATGAATTATTAATTGGGAAAGAATTTTTGATTGGTAACAGCATACTTTAATATTTTTTTTTTTCTATATTTGTTTAATTGGTATAGATACCTTATATCCTGAGAACAAACTTCTCTTCTGTAGCTCTGGGAGGTATCATCAAAAGCAGATATTTGAAGTGCTCCTTTTGCTTGCTATCATATACATTCAGAGGCTGAAGCTGAATTGTATTTTTCCATGAAAGGAAAAGAAACTTCAATTGAAGCTTTAACAAAATATTTAACAAATAGCTATCCCACAGCCTAATTAAAAACTAGTAATAAAAAGTAATAAAGTTTAGTCAGATTGCAGGGATGTATGTCAGTTGTGGACATGGTGAAAACTGTGAGTAGAGACATAGTTTGGCCTACAGATGTGGCATGCTCTGGCTTTCACAACCTAAAATAATTTTTTGTGTGTTACTTTAACCAACATGCTCTCTCCACATCTCCCCCATCACTGTTCTTCCTTGTTAGTTCATTTTTTATTAATGCATAAATATTAGTGAGATTATTGGACTTTGCCCCTCCACAATTAATGTGGTATGAGGGAGAGCAAATGAAACCATAGCGTCTTCTTTTGTGGCAATGTCAATACTCTATTTCAGTCTTTAAACTGTTATCTGTGCCAGTGTAGTCTGCTGCTCTAAGGTACAAACTGCAGGATGAAAAGTTTAACCTAATCTCTACAAACGTCTAGTTAATCTTTGGCACATGCTTCCAAAAGTGGAACTCTACTCATGCAACCTTGTTCAACATGCTGGCCATGGCATCACCCTTCTCCTGTAGCTCCACAGGCCTTGGAATCAAATTTTGACTACCTCTACCTGTGTGCTGTGTAATGTAGTTAGTGAATAGTTTCATCTCTATGCTCAGACCACTTCCAGTCTGGTTGTGTTCAAGTATTTCCTCCACTGGTAGGTACCAAAATAATGTTCCTAAGCAAGGAATGTGACAATTAGTGACCATTAACCTCTCTGCTTTAAAGGAAGTGTTTCATATGTTACAGGTCGTGTTGTGATTATGGCCTGGACTAAGAGTAGACTTTTTTTCATTAAATCCTCTGCATTTGAATAAACCATGGAATACAAGAGAGAAATTTAATGAACACAGGACTATATTTAGAGAATCAGGCTGCATTTTAGAAAATGTAGGACTGTCATCTATAAAGTATTTGGAATGCTTTTACCTACCTTTGCTTGTTGGTAGCTTGATGTAACCTAGATTAAAAGTGAATAATACTTAGCTTTACCAATTTAAAAAGAAAATAAAATAATAATAAAAAAGCTGTTACGAAATTGAGACTGATAATTGCACTTCAACTATAAGAAATTTCTAATAACTCTTTAGATGGTGGAAATCCACTAGAATATTTTTTTTTTAAATGTGATGGGGGAGGAGGATGGAGAAATCGAATAGAAATATTAAGGATCAAGTTCTGTAAGTGACCATTTTCTCTGGTACAAATCATCTCACTGTTGCTGGATGGAGATGCAGTTCTGATTTGGTGTCTGAAGAAGTCATATTCAGCAACTAATACTTCAGTTCAGTAAAGTACAAAAAGCAAGTGCTCCTTTTCAAGAATGTGATTCAAACCTCTTCATGTTTTCTGTGCTTAACTGCTTTTGTGATGAGGAACACCAAGGGAACATGCTGGCTAGATGAGATGAGGTGACAGAAGGCCTACTGCGGGAAATGTTCGGACGTTCTTGAGGCAACGACAACTACTATCGTCACTTTACCAGCAGTGCCTCAGTGTTATGAGTAATGTTTTTTTTTATTTTAACGCTAACCAGTGTGCTCAGATTGCTCAAATTTACCAAATATTTCCTCTGTATTTGTGTTCCCACTTGCAATCTGACAAGTGTTGAGTGAATGTGTGTTAATTTGTTTTGTTGCTGTCTGTCGGTACTGACTAAAATACCTAAAACTTTCTAAGTGTCTAACTCTGGTTTGTCATAAAAATATACTTCTGCTTTCAGTTTCATGTGCATGCCGTTCCAGTAAAGTGATTCATGTCCACATGGGTGTGATACACTTGTATTTCATAGGGTTGACTGTAAAAGTCTTGCATCAAATTTGAAATACTTTTGTATCTCATAGGCTAATTTTAAATCAGAAAAAATCTTCTAAAATTCCATTCCAGGCCCTCAGAAGTTAAATTTCTTTGTTTTAAACACTTGGTTTTTCCTAATGAGTAGCATCAGCAATGAGTGTGTTATGCTAGTGTTTTCATTTGGATCAACAATGCACTTTGGAAGAGAATCTCCTGTTTGCCCCCACTTTGGTTTGCACTGTGGAGTGATCCTGGGGAGTGACCTGGACCGGATTCCTTTTGGACAAAACAAACTGAAAGATGCACTACAGGAATGTGCCTAATGCATTCCAGCCACTAATAAGCCTTCAGTCTTTGAGATGAAATCTGAGAGCTAGTCCGAAGTAGAAAGCCCCTGGAACATGTATAATGAGGAATTTGTCCTTAAAATCAACTCTTTTCACTTCACAGACCCACTTTTATTGGCCCATGCCGTTGCTAATACAGCCATAGCCACTAAGTATTGCTTAGCACTTCTGTGATTGTGCACACATGAAACATTATTGTATGAATGATATAAATTTATAACTGACTGCAGGACAATTAGTGTGATTATTTGTGAAAAGTAGTTTTCATTTATGTATTTGAATTTCTTAATGCTTTTAATAGTACAGAGTACTTATTTGCATGTTGCTATTTATTTTTAATTTATCACGACTAAAATTTGTCCAGTGCTGTCAAACTTGTAGTATGTTTATAGTTGTTCCATAGCTTGCACCTGGAAAATTCTGTGTAAGAGCTTTCCAAGAA